ACCAGTGTTGTCTTCTTTGAGCTGTGGTCCAAGTGTAGTGTCTTAAAAGTAAAGTCTATGTGAACCAAGGTACAATGGAAAAATTGTTGATCAGCAAGAAGGAGGGGAGGAAAGGCCTGGGAAGAAAGGAGGTTGTAAATCATATCTACTTTAAAAGTGGAACTAAAGATGACCTGTCTCAAATTGGTTTTTAGCTGAAGTCAGGAATTGGCAGTGATATCATTTGTTTGTTAAAGGGTATACAAAATTCAGAAGCAGAGGGGTCTTTGTCAGACCCTACCTTACCATGAGCACCCAGAATAAGACTGTTTTCCCTAGGTCTGGCCTATTTGTAAGTATCTTGATCACATGCTTATGAATATTGTGTTAGGTGTAGTGACTGTTATTTTTAGGCTGTTAGGCAATTGTATAATTGAGCGATTGTATAAAATACCATTTGGCCTTGGGTTTAATAAAGGAATCTATGGTTAAAATAGTGTCTGGTGGTCTATATTAATTTCTAATATTAGTAAGTCCAACAATTAGGCTTTAGAATTAACAATCAAAATGAATACAGCAGTTCACACACTGTGCTATTATTTCAATGTCTGGGTCCAGATAGGGTGACCAGACAGCAAGTGTGAAAAATCGGGACGGGGGTGGGGGGTAATAGGAGCCTATATAAGAAAAACCCAAAAATCGGGACTGTCCCTATAAAATCGGGACATCTGGTCACCCTAGGTCCAGATAACATTGCACTGGTACACATTTTCAAGCTTATCTTTGCAACCAGAAAAGTTAGAAACACTCCCTCTCCCCCTATGAAAGTATAAATTTGATAAAATGCAAATATCAAAAATGCAGAGATTCTAAATTCTGCATAATAGCCATGCGGGGTCAGACCAATGGTCCATCTAGTACAGTATCCTGTTTTCCGACAGTGGCCAATGCCAGATGTATCAAAGGGAATGAACAGAACAGGGCATCTATCCAGAGATCCATTCCATCATCCAATCCCAACATCTGGTAGTCAGAGGCTTAGGGACACCCTGTTGTTTGCTTGCATCCCTGACTATCATGGCTAATAACTAGGCCCCTACCAAATTCATGGTCAATTTAACAATTTTAGGATTTTAAAAATAATAAATTTCATTCTTTTAGTTATTTAAATCAGAAATTTCACAATGTTGTAATAGTAGTTCTGATCCAAACAGGAGTTGGGAGGGGGTTTACAAGGTTGCTGAGTGTGTGTGTGTGTGGGGGGGGGCGTGTTGTTGCGGTACTGCTACCCTTACTTCTGCTGGCAGCGGCGCTGCCTTCAGAGCTGGGC